ACAAAGGGAAGCGGAGTGGCCGGGAGGGATCGGGAGAGGATCTTGATCTTGGTACCATGTGGAATGAGATGAGAGAAGAAACAGAATATGACGCTCGAAAGAGATTCTTCTTCCTTCCTTGCCAACTTCAAGCAACCAGCCCGTCTCGGCTATGCGTGCGCCATCTTTTGCACGTCCCCTGATTTTTGGGGTGGCTTGTCAGTCAGCCGCCTCGTCTCATTGTCGTGAAGTCTTTGAGAACGGGAGAAACAGCCAATGATCTCTTCCTTGCATCAACAATGACATCTTTGGGAGTTGAACAAGTGGAACGCTAGGCAGCCGGGAGGGGAGAGGACTTCTCTCTCAACTGGATTGGGGTACAAGATACGACATGAAAGGGGCATCAGCGCAAATCGTGAGTTGATGGTTCGCCAGTTCAAAAGCACCCAAAGATGGATCAGGTTCCCCTCCCGCCTTAGTGTAGTATGGATGAAGTAGTGGAGTATTATAGCGTACCTTCTTTTTCGAAGTGCTTGAGCTGCTGTATCACGAGCAAGAGTACTTATGGGCGTCTCGTGCCTCACTTTCGTCCACACCCCCTCTAAGACCCTGGTCGGCATCGAAGACAAGGGAGGTTGCTATCGTGTATCAGGCAAGGAAAAGAAGAAAAAAAAAAAAAGAAAAAAGGAAGAAGCAGTGGTTGTTCAGCAGAGGGGCAGAACCAAGATTTGTCTCGATGGCGTGGGACTAGGTTGGTGATGGGAAATGCAATGAAGATGGAGATACATTGATGAGAGGAGTTGGAAGAGCTTTCTTGAGTACTGAGTACTGTGGTGGTCTCTACCTCGGTATGTGTTGCCGTATACACGGAGCGGGTGGCGGCATCACTTCGAGGTCTGCAGCGTTTGACGGCAGCTGTCAATAGCAGCGGTGGGAAACATCGTCTTCAGGCTCATGCCAGAATGGCGATCAACAATTGTCCATCTTGTCCATCTTTGCAATGCTTCCATTATTATGAGTAGATGCCTTTGCAAAGGGCCAGCGCAGGGAGGCTTTTCTCTATGCCTCGGACAGCTGCTGCAAATGCGACGAGGGGAGCAAGGGTACAAGTAAACACGGAGAATATCATCGAAGACTCTTTCACCCTTCACCATTGGGTGGATCTCGCCAAGGGCGCGCGATTGCCTGTACGGGCATGGCTCAGCATAAATATTGCCAGTCTTTCATCAGGAAAGCCCTCACTGTGGATCGGCTGGACTGTCGAAGCGCACAAGCTAAGCCAAAAGTAGGAACGGGGCTCGACGCGAGAAATCTGGGACCCTGGAGGTGAAGGCAGCTGGGGATACGATTGGCTCCCTCGAGCGCCACGTTATTTCCCACTGGACGAAGTGACATCCAAGCTGTGCACGTATCACCCACTCACATAACAACCCTAGCTGGCTTTGGGCTTTTTCTGCGAGATGCACAAGGTGACGGGGAGGGTGAATCATGATGCCTCATCGAAGCCGAAAACCACTGTCTTTCGATTGACACGGAGGCTGCCCTGCCCCCTGTTGTGTGGACAGTTGAATGTCACCGGCATTCGGTTTTGGTAGACCAATCGACTTGTAGTTGACTCATCAGACTGGCTGGTGATGATTACAAGTCGGTGGCACCGAGGTAGAGCTCTCTTCATGCACACTCCTTACGAGGCGAAGGAGCTGATGGAGAGCATTCCAAGCGGATCGAGAATGCCTCGACTTGGCTGGGCTTTAATTTCGAAAGGGAAAAGTAATAATACTGTGTGCTGGAAGGATTGGAATGCGCGAAAATGGATTTTTGTGTGCGGGGCGGATCCCCTTTCCTTGGGGAATATGCTTTTTGGCCGAGGGCAGACCAGACCTCGACTCGGCGCACCGTGCCACTGAGGCCCAAGCCGTTCCTTGCTCACATCGGGATTTCTAACGGCGTATCCTGTGTTGGGAGGGACCTTTTGTTGTTCTAGAATGTGCATGGAGAATTGTCTCGCCATTTGTAGCGATAAGATTCCGATTGCGCTTGGTTGATCTGGGCATGCCTTTTCTCTTGACACAAGAAAAAGGCCATCGCTCTCCATCGTAACCGTCTCGATTCTCCACTGATATCGGATTACTGCGGCTCTGGCGATGCTGGAAGTCTTCAAAATCTAATTGCTTCAATATTGGTTGGCCTCTGGCGAATCGGCTACTTCAGTGGTATTTTTCCTTTTCCCAGCGACCTAACCAGAGGCAGTAGCCCACTAGCGAGCAAGGAAAGGGGGTCAAGGAGAACATGGTCCGTCCAAGCAGATCGATCAGCACAGGATTATGTGTGCCCTTGTTCGGACCCTCTCCCTCTCTGGTGCTTCCCTGTTGATCAGTTTCTCCGCCGTCATTTCGCGGTGTGCGAACATTACCTCTCGCTTGTGCTCGCGCCGCACCCTTTGAGTACTTCGTACACCCTCCCCATAATACCCCACTTTTAAGCTGGAGCGCAAGTCACATTCTCCCAGAGACGCGCGCGATAGGGGTGGCCACTCGCAGGGGTAATGGGTAAAGCGATCTTCGCAGTGAAAAGAGGGGCCGATTTTGGCGTTAAACCAGTTCTGAGGGCCAAAACATTTTTTTTTTTGCTTTGTTTGTCTGCTCGGTTCTCGCGCTTTTTGGGGTTGGCAGAAGCAATACTGATAAAGTCCCGTCTTTCTATCTCGGGCGAGCTGGTTTCTCTGCAAGGTGGCCCATCTATTATCAGACAATAAGACACGCTTAGTGAGGGAAGAGAGACCCGTTGACGCAAACGCACAAAGATTAATTCGCTATCGGCATCGATAGGCCGTGAAGACTGGCATGCGGGGATGGAGATTCCCGTCCAAAATTACTGATCTAATGACTCAATTACCGCTTCACTAATCAGAGAAACCAGCCAGGATTGAATTCCTTTGGAGTGACACTGACCTGTATGTATCCGTGAATTGACAAGATTGGATGGATGGAGAGTTTATTTTCGGGAGCATGAACTGAACAAGCAACTCAAGAAATTAAACCAAACGAAAATCTTACCAGAGGGTGCTATGCTTCGCCCCAGGAACCCGGATTCTCGACCAGTGCACTCTGTTGTTGGCCTTCCTTTGCCTGCGGTACGGTAGTACCTGCCCTCCTTCCCTTTCGCTTCTGGTCCGACTCTCTGCGAGTAGAAATTGAACTTAATTTCCCAAAAAGGGGGTCGTTTGCCCATTGGTTCATTGGTTAGCCAGTCCGCTCCACAGGCCAAGGTACCACAACGGGCTGGCCGCGCCTTCCAGGGACAAGGGCGGGCAGAGGAGGTGGGAAAGCGCCATGGGACGACGGCGGACCAGGGGGAGGAAGGACCGCCGGACTGGACTGGTCATTGCTTCCTCTCCCTTTTTCTTTTTCCTTCCACTTCAGGGACGCCCCACTCTGAGCGGTGCAGTGCTGTCTCCAGTGTTCTATTTGCGGTGTTGTGGGCACCACGCTTGGCTTGCTAAATGTTTTCGCCTCTTCTGCTCGCTGAACACGCACACCCCTTGTCACCCATCACCCCTTTGGAGCCTCTTCTTTTCAGCGCATTCCGTGCCTGGCTTGGCTGCACAAAGGGCCAAGCAGCACCCACAACAAAGCCGTCAGCGTGGCGCACCGGACCTTCTCACCATTGCCTAGTCAAACACTCGCCTGAAGGCGCCGAGGCAGGAGGTCATTGGTACCAAGCTCGTTTATAAGCTGGGCATTATTACAGCCCAGACTTGGTACTGGCTTGGCCCCAAGACGCAGCACAGCTGGTGCATTTCTTTCCTTGAATCAAATACGAAGTGATAATATTACTCGTAGGTGAAGGAGCGGAGTATGAACGGATCGAATAACACAACAGGGAAGAAGGAGACAAGCCTTCGGTCAGGGAGTTGGGCCGTCGGCTCCACCTTTACCATGGACATTGACCCACGGCGAAGGCCAGGTCGTCCACGCAATAGCTTTGATTGTTCTCATTTGCTGGGGCGATAAGCAGGATAGAGCCCGACTTGGTGACTATCACCGACAGTGGAGGATGGGGTGGGACGAGGGGCCTGGTCCCCAGTACAACCACTCTCGACGAGAACAGTAGGCTATCGAACCGGCCTCCCTCTTCTCTTCCAACGGCGAGCAAGCTGGATAAGAGAACGACACTATGAGGGCATTAGTCCACGCAGCGTCCACTGAGGCTAGAGATCAGTAGCGCCGGCAGCCCCTTGTACCCCCTTGGGGAGGGGATCTCCGCTTGAGAGAAAGAGGAAAAAGCACACAGTCCGGCAGGCAGGAGGTGATGAGGGGTGCCTCATTCCAGCCGGTGCGAAGCTCACACCTCTTGGAGCAAAGAACCGCGCGCGCGCCAGTGCGCACACAAACACACACAGACACACTCGGTACTAAAAAGTTCGGCGCGGGGAGACAAAGGAACACAGAGCTGGACGGGGAAAAACAGTCAAATTTCGCTGTCAAAGCAGAAACTAATCCACAGCCTCCTCCAGACCAGGGGGAGGGGGCCAAGTTTCTAGGCGCTAGTCAAAATCCGACGACCCATGCGGATGCGGGCCCTTCCCACACTACGTCGACCTTGGATCCCTGTAACCTATCCATTCCGGATGCATGGCGATGCTGTGCTCGCTCACTTTGTTGCTGGCGAACGCTCGCGCACACCCCCTCTCGCCACCCCACCCCCTTTTCCTTGATCCGCCCATCGCCCTTCGTGTTGGGCGCCCGGAGCTTCCTCGCCCTGGCGCCTCGATGTTGTCTGGTGGATTCTCATCACGTCCGAGCCGAAGGGAGGAACCAGTATATATTCCGGTCCCCTCGTCCCAACGTCTCCGATTAGTCTCTCTTTTACTACCCAACGAATGTTTTGTTCGCTTTTGAACACGTCCACTCGCTTATAATAGAACTGCCATCTTCATCTGATCGGTAGCTCGTTTTTATTTCTTACATTCGTTGCTAATTATTTAATTAATTCCCTAATTCCTTCCTTCACACAACAAGATGCCTCGTCTTGCCACCACTCTTCTCATCGCGAGCGCCGCGGCCGCCGGCCTTGCCAACCCCACCGGCGGGGACCGCCGCCCCAACCCCATTCCTTCCCGCTCCAACTACGAGCTCGTCGGCTGCGTCAAGATCCACGACATCTCCGGCTCCAGGCAGGTAGAGAACCTCGGCCGCAACTGGACCCCCGGCCAGTGCCAGAACCGCTGCAACGGTTCCGACTACGTCGTTGTCGGCAACAAGTGCACCTGTGCCAGCGACGTCCGCTATGACGTGATCCGCAAGAACCGCGTCTGCGGTGCCAACGACCGTAGCGGTACCAACCTCTACCGCAGCGAGGACTGCAAGGACGACGAGCCTGAGCAGCCCCTCACCCCGAGGAGCCCGGCAGCGACGATGAGTCCGACTGCGAGGAGGAGGAAGAGGAGGAGGAGTCCGACTGCGAAGAGGAGGAGGAGGAGCCTGAGGAGTCTGACTGCGAGGAGGAGGAGGAGCCCGAGGAGACCGACTGTGAGGAGGAGCCCACCGAGACCGGTACTGAGACTGCCAACCCCACTGAGCAGCCCACCGGTACCGAGGAGCCTACCGTCGGTCCTACCGAGGAGCCCACTGCCACTGGCACTGAGGAGCCCACTGGCGAGCCTACCGGCACCGATGAGCCCACCGGCACTGAGGAGCCCACTGCTGAGCCCACTGATGACGACTGTGAGGAGCCCACCGAGACCGGTACCGAGACTGCCAACCCCACTGAGCAGCCTACCGGTACCGAGGAGCCTACTGTTGGCCCTACCGAGGAGCCCACCGGCACTGAGGAGCCTACCAGCGAGCCCACTGACGACTGTGAGGAGCCCACTGAGACCGGCACTGAGACCGCCAACCCCACCGAGCAGCCCACCGGTACTGAGGAGCCTACCGTAGGCCCTACCGAGGAGCCTACTGGCACCGAGGAGCCCACTGGCGAGCCTACCGATGACTGCGAGGAGCCCACCGAGACCGGCTCTGAGACTGCCAACCCCACTGAGCAGCCCACTGGCACTGAGGAGCCCACCGTTGGTCCTACCGAGGAGCCCACCGCTGAGCCCACTGATGACTGTGAGGAGCCCACTGAGACCGGCACCGAGACCGCCAACCCCACTGAGCAGCCCACTGGCACTGAGGAGCCCACCGTTGGTCCTACCGAGGAGCCCACTGCTGAGCCCACTGACGACTGCGAGGAGCCTACCGGCACTGAGGAGCCTACCGTCGGTCCTACCGAGGAGCCCACCGCTGAGCCCACCGAGGGCCCTTGCGACGGCGAGAACTGCCAGCCCACCGGCACTGAGACCGCCAACCCCACTGAGCCCACTGCTGAGCCCACCGAGACTGAGCCCTGCACTGAGGAGCCCACCACCGGTCCTACCGAGGGTCCTTGCGACGGCGAGAACTGCCCTCCCGAGCCCACCGGCACTGAGACTGCCAACCCCACTGAGCCCACTGCCGAGCCCACTGAGCCCTGCACTGAGGAGCCCACCACTGGTCCCACTGAAGGTCCTTGCGACGGCGAGGACTGCCAGCCCCAGCCCACTGGCACTGAGACCGCCAACCCCACTGAGCCCACTGCTGAGCCCACCGAGACTGAGCCCTGCACTGAGGAGCCCACCACCGGTCCTACCGAGGGTCCTTGCGACGGCGAGAACTGCCCTCCCCAGCCCACCGGCACCGAGACTGCCAACCCTACTGAGCCCTGCACTGAGGAGCCCACTGCCGGACCCACCGAGGGCCCCTGCAAGGGTGATGACTGCGAGCCCCAGCCCACCGGCGGTAACGGCGGCGAGGAGCCCCAGCCCACTGGCGGCAACGGCTGCAACGGAGACGACTGCGAGCCCCAGCCCACTGGTGGCAACGGCGGCGAGGAGCCCCAGCCTACCGGCGGTAACGGCGGTGAGGAGCCCCAGCCCACCGGCGGCAACGGCTGCAATGGTGGTGTCTGCCCTCCCGAGCCCACCAACGGCGGCGAGAACCCCAGCCTACCGGCACCCAGCCCCAGCCCACTGGTGGCAACGGCGGCAGCGACGGCGGCAGCGACGGCAGCGAGGGTGAGGAGCCTTCCACTCCCACTTTCGTTCCCTCTTCTGCTACCCGCGCTTCTGCTGTCGGTGCTGCTTTCATGGGTCTCTTGGCCCTTCTCGTCATCTAAGCCTGCCAAGGCCTTGGATGCGATGAGGAGCCGGAGCTCGAAAAACAAACAAAAAATTTCCCAAAAATAATACCAAAGCAAAGCATACACCACCTTCATTTCACCACCTTTTTTTTTCTTAGACGTTTCATGTCATCCTTTTATACCTTTCTAGTATTTATTCTTAATTCCCGGAGGGCGTCTGCATATATTCATGTGTGTGGGTAGACTTCAGCTGTACGTTTAATGAATGTCAAAACAAACCAATGTCGCAAGGCATCATCTAGATCAACTCAGGGAATCTTTTCTTCTTCGTGAGCATGGGGACGGTTGGATTTGGATCTCGTTTTTATAATTTTTTCAATTTAGAGTCCAAATGTTTAATAATGTTCAACTTGACACGTATTGGTGACTCTGTTGAGCCTCTGGTCAATGGTAGGTCTTGCTCATCTAGGTCAAAATACTGTGTGTCTGATATGTTGTTCCTGTCAAGCCATTCGAAAGCGGGGGTAAGTAGGGCCATGTCTTTCGCATGTTACCCAAAGACCAGCGCCCTCTTGAATCATTCTGGCACGATCTCCTGGTAGCGTAGATGCGATCGAAAGAGGCAGATCCGTTGAAGTTATATCCAGCCACGGCTGCACTGCACATGCCGGTGGTGGACGAGATCCTCACGTGACTAGATCTGCGATCGTGGACATCTCCGAGACTGCATTGATCGTGTAATCATGGGATATGCATGGAATGCAACCATCCATATCAAGGGGGAGACGAGCACAGTCCGCGTCTGGTTTACTGCTTTCGGCGCGTTAACCCGGCGAAGCGGTTCCGAGGTCACGATCGACGGAGAGCATGGTCACTCCGCGCTGCACTTTTGATTTCGGCCACGTTTTTTTTTCTCATCGAGAAAGCGGGCCCCATGGACATGGCCCCCGTCGAGATATTTTACCTTTGCTGCTACCATCTAATCTCGACCTTGTGGCGACCCGTTTGTCGCTGTTCCGCTATGGACCAGGCCAAATCTTTACTAACGACGCGTGCCATGACTCGGAAGGGGACCCGGACCTTATGCTGCGAGCATTGAGCGTTCTCACCGACGAGCTGTTTAGCGGAGGCGACTGCCCTTATCGAGTACCTGCGGCCGGACCGCGGGAAGAAGACCTGTCCCTTTCTCTTGTCCTCCTTTCTCTCTCTTGCGCGGTCGCTCACTTCCGCCTTTTCACCTCCTTTTCATTTTCCTTTTCCTTTTCTTCAAAAGCAAGGTCTTTTTTCTTTCTTTTTTCTCTTTTTTTCTCTTCCTTTCTTCTTCCCTTTCCCCTTTCGGGGTCGTCTCTGCGCGATTCAATTCGAGGGTTCGTCTGATTCGGCGCGTTACATTTTCCTTTTCGGCGTCTTTTCCCCACCAGCGCATCCGCCCCCGCTCTGGGCAAAAGGGCTTTGGGGTTGAGGGGACTTCTGTTCGAGGAGAGGGTCCTTTGGGGGGCTTATCGATGTGCGTTTTTGGATCGATCCTTGCCGATCCAGTGGATGGCACGCGCCGTTGGGTACTTTATTGCCGGTGCAATCAGAGGCGCCCGCGGACCCCCAGCCAATCTGAACCCGTTGCCTTCCATTTCCCCCAAGTTTACAATTACGCGGGGCCTTCACCTTCCCGGAAGAGACAGTCCCCGTGGCGGCGATGCTCCCCGATGGACCCACTGTCGTGCACGACCAACTTCATTTGTTCGTCGGAGGATCCTTTCAATCTTGCTCCACTCTCCGCGCAGCATCTGCTCTTGTATCTGGCTTTGGTTTCTTTTGTTTATCTTGCTCCTCCCTGCTTTTATCAGATCTCTGCATTCTCTTTTCTCCCCTCGTGCTTTCTGTCAATTGTTTTTTTCGGGGAGCAAAGGTAACCGATTGGCGGATATCTTCCGCAGGGAAGCGACATGGCATGATGCGCATCGGTGAGCTATGAGGAATAGGCCCGTCCTCATTTCCGGCCGTCGCATCCATCCAATCTCTGTTCTTATCTTCAGTGTGGTCATCATGATCCCAACGCCGGGCGGCCGTTCTTCGCCACTCGACCGGGTGCGTTGACATAATCTGCGTTGACCCGGACATCTTGTCCTACATTGATGTATGGAGGGTGGCGTTTTCCACACATCACAGCTCTTGAGGACGTCTTAAAGTTGAAAAGTATCCAAGCTCTCTACCCCGCGATGCGCCCGCGTACGCCTGGAGAATGATGATCTGCGACGGTCTTCCATGAACCATGTTATTCCATCGGAGTGCGCCGTCGATGGATGTCGAGTGGGCCGCTAGCACCAGAGAAGAAAAGAGAACCCAAAAAGAAAGGAAAAAGAAGGAAGCGAAGCGTATCTACCAGGCCAATCGTGATGATTAGAATCTGTCAAACGGAAGCGTGCATGTGTGGGTACCCGACCAACCTGGAAATTTTCTGCACCTTTCCCACCATCCCATCCCCATGCCATCCTTGCCATCCCACCCTCTCGACTCTGCCGTGCATATCTTGACCACATTGCCCGCGCTTTTCCGGAGGTAACATTGCACTTATCTGTAACCGCGATCCATGTGGGCCCTGGCACACCTCACTTGCGGTACTGCGGGCCCGACCTCGTCCCTTTATTCCTTTTTGCCTCCTTGGCTTGGTGCGAACCGCTTGGATACCACAGCGGCTCTTGCCACATGCGTCAAAGGGCACCGGCGGGTTTCCTTTTCGTGGCGATAGTGAGCGCTGGCGGTTGCTTTTGCGACTGAAGGGTCCATCAATGTTCTCTCTTGGCGGTCCCGTCCCATGAAGGGTTTGGGTTTTGCGGGGACGGCTCTCCCGATGGATTGTTGGAGTTTCCTTGGTCTCGTGGGACATGCTATATATCATCCCCTCGGCCATTGACCAATCGATGGCGAGGCCTCGGTATAGTTGGGTTTTCCTTTTGTTCATTCTTGTTTCTTTTTCCCTTGGCTTGTTTTTCTTGGCTCTCGGCCTGTCACCCTCACCCTAGTGTAGGCTTCTTGGTCCTCTTGCCTTGCTGTTCCTTCCTTTTACTTGCGGCCGAGAGATTGGACCCCTTTGCTTCCGATGTGAGTGGTGGCTCTACGCCTGACGTGCATGTGTGTACTACCCGGTACAATGAGTCTCACCAAGTCCCGTCAAACACCGCCAGACCGGCGAGACTAGACCTCCCCTCCCAGATCCCATCCCCTCCTGGTTGGGTTGAACAAAAAGTCCAAGCCAGTTCACCAATCCTTCCCCCTCACCCTCTTGTTCGATTTCGTTCCTTGGCCTCCCGGGGAGGAGAGGAAGGGCCGCCGCTTGCTGCGACTCTCTTATCATCGTCACGAGGGACGCATTAATGCCCAGACCTAGAAAGGACTTGTCCGGCAGTATCGAGATTGCTGGGTAGGCGAGGGTGTTATCGAGGGTACTACGACCCTTGTGTTCCAGTGCTCCGTTACCCTTCTTCCCTTTTCACCCCGTCGTTGCCCTCGCTTCGGCCCCGCGCCTTCCACCTCGCTGGTACTCGTGTGCTCCTTCCTTTTTCCTTTCTTCTTTTCTTCCTTTTTTGACATGTGGACCCGCAACAAACTTAATACTTAAAGATGCACCTTCCCCCGACCCAACCCGGTCTGTAGAACTCGCTCCTTCCGCTCCAGGGAGACTTTTGTTTCGGGAACTCTTGTCTTGGGAAACTGTGTCTGGGAACGAGAGCCGAGGGCGCATACGGTTATAGATCACGAGCTCGAGTCTGTCCGGGTCTTTGACGTCTTGTTTCGCTTCCTCCTCGCTGCCTCTCTTTTTCCGTCTGCCTTGCGCGGCTCTAGGACAAAGAACAGGTGGTCGCCTCGTGAAGGATAAAGCTCACTTGCTTCGTTGGTGTTTCTTGTCTGCCTAGCTAGTATCTCTTCCGCGCTCATCGTGATTTTGCGTTTTCTTTCGTCTCGTTGACGTCAGCCGCAGCACGTCTCCTCCTCCTCTCTGAACCCTTTTTCTTCTCGGTTCCCTCATTCCGGCCCCTTTTGGCTATTTCCCCCAAAAGAATCACCATGTCCGCCACCGACGCCAAGGCCACCGGCCCCACGGGCACATCGCGCCCCGCGTCCCCGTCCCAGCGCTCCTCCGCCTCCGCCAACGGCCTCCGACGAAACTCGGACCCGGCCCTCGACCCCAAGCACCAGCACACCCACCCGCACGTCCACCACGCCCCGAGCGCCGAGAACAACGGCCACACCCACGCCGTCTACACCAAGGGCACCACGGCCGACGCGACCCTGATCCCCGCGCAGTCCCCGCTGCACCGGCACGACGTCGAGAGCGCCGGCCTGCCCCCGTACCACAGCGACCCGGAGAAGCACGAGGAGCGCGACGTCATCGACACCACCTCGGGCGGCGAGCACGGCGAGGCCGATCGCGCCCCGGGTGGCGGCGGCAGCTGTACCGACGCTACCGCATCGTCTTCCACCTCATCATCTTCGCCTTCTTCACCGGCTGGTGGATCGCCTCCCTCATCCTGCACAAGGACGACATGAACTGGGTCGTCCCCTTCCTGTTCTGGCTCGCCATCACCGCCCGCCTGCTCTTCTTCCACATTCCCATCTCCCTCGTCACGACGCCCATCCGCTTCGCGTGGCAGCACACCGGCGTCGTCGTCTACGACCACATCCCCCAAGTGGCGCACCCCGCTCGGCGCCGCCGTCACCATTGGCTCCATCCTGCTCGGCGCCTTCATCTCGGAGGAGTCCGAGAACAACACGCGCGAGAACCGCGCCATCTCCCTCTTTGGCCTCGCCGTGCTCATCTTCCTGCTGTGGGCCAGCTCCCGCGACCGCCGCCGCGTGCAGTGGCGCACCGTCATCGGCGGCATGCTCGCCCAGTACATCATTGCCCTCTTCGTCCTCCGCACCGGCGTCGGCTTCAGCATCTTCAAGTTCATCGCCGACCGCGCCGGTGACCTCCTCAGCTTCTCCCGCCAGGGTACCGCCTTCCTCACCACCCCCACCGTCGCCGAGCTCACCTGGTTCCTCATCGGCGTCATCCCCGCCATCATGTTCTTCATCTCCATCGTCGAGGTGCTCTACTACATTGGCTTCATCCAGTGGTTCATCAAGAAGTTCGCCACCTTTGTCTTCTGGGCCCTCCGCGTCTCCGGCGCCGAGGCCGTCGTCGCCGCCGCCACCCCCTTCATCGGCCAGGGCGAGTCCGCCATGCTCGTCCGCCCCTTCGTCGCCCACATGACCACCGCCGAGCTCCACCAGATCCTCACCTGCGGCTTCGCCACCATCTCCGGCTCCGTCCTCGTCGCCTACGTCGGCCTCGGTCTCAACGCCCAGGCCCTCGTCTCGTCCTGCATCATGTCCATCCCCGCCTCCCTCGCCATCTCCAAACTACGGTTCCCCGAGACCGAGGAGACCCTCACCGCCGGCCGCGTCGTCATCCCCGACGACGACGAGCACAGGGCCCAAAACGCCCTTCACGCCTTTGCCAACGGTGCCTGGTTCGGTCTCAAGATTGCCGGCACCATTGTCACTTCTATTCTCTGCATGCTCGCGGCCGTTGGCCTCGTCGACGGCCTTCTCGGATGGTGGGGCCGCTACCTCAACATCTCCGACCCCGACCTGTCTCTCGAACTCATCATGGGTTACATCTGCTACCCTATTTCCTTCCTTCTCGGCGTTCCCCGCCAAGGAGTCGTGGCCCCGGGAAGTCGTCGCGACGCAGAAATTTACAAGGTCGCCAAGATTCTCGCCACCAAGATCATCAAGGTAACGTTTGAACCCTTTCCCCTCCACTCCCTCACTAAGGGAAAAAACCAAAAAACACTTGCTCGTTTAAAATTCACTGTCCTAACCGTCATCAAACCCTCAGAACGAATACGCCGCCTTCGAAGCCCTCAAGGCAGAGACCCTCACCCCCGCTCCCGCCTCATCGCCACCTATGCCATCTGCGGCTTCGGCAACATCGGCTCCCTCGGTATTCAGGTCGGCATCCTCTCCCAACTCGCTCCCTCCCGCGGCGGAGACGTGTCCCGCATCGCCGTGTCCGCTCTCATCTCCGGAGTCCTGTCTACCTTCACCTCGGCCGCCATGGCGGGTCTGGTCATCACCGACCAGGTGGATCTTGTCCCCAGCGCGTAGATATCTCTGCGACCACGGGGCGCTCTTCTTAAAATATGTTTGCAGGCGATTTTCGGCGTATAAGGGGAGTCCTGGTAATGAAGATACCGGGCATGTCTTGTATGAAGGGGTTTAGGTTGATTGAACAATTTCGCAGGAGGGGAGAAATGTGGAGGATACAAAAACACACACATATATATCTATATCTAGATGTACTCATAATTTTTAGTTCTCTTTCCTTAACAAGTTCGAAGAATTTTTTTTTTTAAACAAGATGCCCAAAGAAGGGAAAAAGGCAGAAAAACCACAAAAATAAATAACGAAAAAGGCTATTCATGTCTATGTCTCTCCAACTATCATATACAAACACAGATATCGATGTTTTGTATCGGAGAGGGTCACTCGCACTCTACTCTCCATGCATAAAAACCAATGTTAAATACAATACAAAGGGTACATGAAAGGAACGAACCAAAAATAAAAGAACGACCCAAAAAACAAAGTACGAAGAGTAAAATAAAGACCTCTAACCACCCTCCATCACCATCGTGTACGCCTCGAAAATCATAGGCTCGCTATGCCCAAGTGTCGACGACAAAGTGTCATCAACCTTGCAACTGCACACCGGCCTAATCCACATCACCCCTTTTCACACAGACCCTTTTTTCTTTTTCTCTCCGTTACTGGCTCCTAAACCGCCTATTAAACTCCTCCACCGCCACCGCCACCATCTTGTACAGGAACCGGCGGCTATCCTCGTCCCCAACGGGAATAAAGGGCCCGTTGACGCCGTCCCTCAGCGTGAGGCTAAGGCCGGTCCTCTCCTTGGCGATGGTCTGCACATCGCGCAGGGGCACATCCCACTCCGACGTGAGCTTGCGGCTGCGAATCATCAGGATGCGCGCGTACGTGACCATGACCACCATGTCTTCGCGGGGTAGTTCGAGGTGGGCAATGTACGACTCCTCAAAGTACTTGCCGTTGTCAACCTGCTTCAGCCAGAACTGGCCCAGGGCCTCGCGCTGGTTGTAGGGTCGGATGATGCCGTCCGAGGGAACGAAACGCGCAAGACGCACGCGGTCGAGCTCCGACCCGTCAAAAACGGTTGTAGTGTTGCGGATACCCTCCGAGACATTGGATGCCATGTCGAGAACGCCAATGGCTGGCTTCGTGGCGAGGCCCAACACACCCTTGCCCACACCCTTGATGAAACCGAAAGCGCCTTCCTGCTCGGCTCCTTCGAGGGGCTTGCGTGCCAGGCCACCTACACCCGATGCGACACTGGTGAGGAACGAGTTGGCGCCGGTCGTGACGCCATAGAGGGCGTGCTTGGGCCGGTTGCGTGCCCGTGTGATGCGGCGACGATCCTGGAACTGCTTGTCGAGCGTCGCAGCTGCTAGGCCCTTGGACAGACTGCCCGTGAACTTGGAAAATGAGTCGCTTACGCCATACACGGACTTCTTGACAAACGAGGTGGCGCCCTTGGCGATACCGAAGCCAAACTCTTCGGGCCTGTCGCTAAGAATGAGGCCCTGGTACGGCTCGTAAAAGATGTCTGTAAGGCCCGAGCTAATATTGTTGAAAAGGCCCACGGGGTTCCCGAGGAAGTCGGCAGAGCCAAGGATCTTGTGGACCTGGTACAGCGCCTCCTGACTGTAGTGGTTTGAAATGTTTTGTATCAACACGGGCGTGGAGACCCGCACATTCTCCAGCATGAGCGCATTGAACCGCACTGGCGCGTCGTTGATGTTGCCAATGGCCATGGTCATGACGTTGAGGAAAAACATGAGCGGATTTTTGGATGATGTCTTGCTCTCAACGTTGACACGCTCCGTTCTCATAAACGACAAGTCGAGCTGCATGGGTTGAATGTTGAGCAGCTCAAAGTACATGTCCTGGCCGCTGTGCTGTTGTTTGGGCTCGGGAATGCCGAGTACTTCGTCACATAGCGTTCCCTCGCTCTCTTGTTGGCTCCATGCAGCCCCGGGGATGTTAGAAAAGTCCATGAGCGCGAAAACAAAGTCTTCGTCGAGCTCAACCGTCATCTGCTGGATAAGCAGGGTCGCGTACTTGATGTACAAGACGCCATAGGAGTCGTCCTTGACTCGGGTGACCATGGCGTGGACCGAGGGATGGGCCTCAATCTCCTGTGCCTTCTTCGGAACGACGCTAGGGTACATGACAATGGGGAAAATGCCACCATAGAGCTGGTTGTCAATCTGGATCCACTTGATGGACAGACTGACCGTCTGATAGAGGGGAGACTCGCTGTACTTGAGGGTGACACCGCGGAAGGTCACATACGCCAGCTCCCTCAGCTGCTGGTTGATGAGAGAGATGCCGATTCCAGAGAGTCGGAGCTGCGCCTTGAACGTCACGTCCGTATTCAAGTCCTTGATTTCGAAACCACCACCCGCATTTCTACTGCTGCTGCTGGCCTTGCTCTGTTGTCTGTACAGGCTCTTAGACTGCTTGAAGTTGGAGAGAACCATCGTTTGTGTGGGCCCTTCCGCCGCAACATTGATGTCGATAATCTTTTGCTGGCCCGACTGCGTCGCAAACTTCATGGGGATCTGGTTACCGATCTCGGCGAGCTTGACGTGCCTCTCCCTACCCGAGGCGCTGATGACGACCTCTCGGAACCGTGCCGCTGGGAAATCCCATGCGTACGGCATGATACTCCTCGGCGGGAGACGGTAGCGGATCGGCTTCCACCCAGACCGGTCTTCGAATTCCTCTTCATCCACGTTGGGGTTGGCCTGGTAGAATATGAATTCGGTGTCGCTCTCATTTCGCATCGAGAATGGCCAGTGTTTCGTCTCCTTGCTAAGATGGATAAAGACAGTTGCGTGCTCAAGCAAGATTTCGGCGCGGATAAGCTGTTGCCTCTGTCCCGACCTGGCAATCTTGATATGTGTTGTGCCGATATCCGAGATGTTCAAGGGCGCCGTCCACTGGTTATCGAGGCCGGGCAGGCACAAGCACAGCTGTTTGACTTTCGAGCGCTGCATGAATTGAAGAGGGTGAAGGCCGCCGGCGTGCAGCGTCAGCGAGCCAGAGGAGCTTGGTTCGCGGATGAGAATCTCCTCGCCCAGCTTGTTCTTGATGATGAAGCGCGGGGTGAGGGTGACAACCTTGGTCATCTTGTATTTCCCTTCGCCCGACTTCACAGAGATGCCGACATTGATCTCCCTAGCGCGGTTCGACAAAGACTGCAGCACCACTTCCGTTGTGCTCCCAATGGCATCGAACGACTGAGGTTTGCTCCACTCGGAATCTCAATCTTGAGCTGCGCACGGTTCTTCGGGTCCTCGTGCGCAAAAGAAAACATGAATGGCTGAGCATGAGGCCGTTCATTCTCAGAGACATCCACAAGAGGGAATTGTCCAGCAACCGCCTTGGCGCCTTGCATGAAGCCCTTGGCGCGAATATCTAGCTCGAGGCCCGTTTGATTCAGCACCACGTAGGGACTGTAGACCGTCACCTTGAACGCGCCGCCGCTGTCCGGTGTGCGGTGGTAATGGAGTCGTAGATTGAGCGTCAGCCCTTGGTCATCTCGGCAGACCAGCTTCTCCTCTTTCCTAAAGTCGGCCGTGCTGCCCGAGTTGATGACTGCGAATTCGCTAGGTTTGAATGGCGTGTCCTGCATGTCCACGCTCATAAGCAACAGGTGGGACAACTCGACCACATGGACAGGGCTCAGGCCTCCCTTTCGGAGGAAGTTCGTCCAGTCCTTCTTGGTGTTTTTATCGTAGATGCGGTATTTGAAGTCGTAGGGAAGTAGGTTTTCGAGGACGACGGGCGCCGACAGCTTCACCCTCATATACGGATAAGACCTAGCGCATCGTGATTAGTACTGCAGATAACAAACCCCACAATCAAAAAAGAAGCCCCGGCCGTATTCGGTGGCATGGCCAAGGAGCAGGGATCCAATTATGGCTTGCTTTGTATAAAAGAAGAAAAAACACTTACTTGGTGAGTGGGTGGCCCTTGTCAAATGACGCAAAGAGCTGGAAATAGAATGGGTCGCCATTGTCTCCCTTGCAGACCATGGTCCGCACTGGCCGCTTGACCAAGTCCCTCCAGTTGAGGGCTTCCGAGGACCACGAATATCCGAAACCCGAGTCTGGTCGCACAAGCAGCGACTTGACGTAGGCCGCACCGACTGGTGCCGGACGGCTCTCGCCAGGAGAAATCTTTTCAATCTTGAGCAAGTCGCCCTTCTCGGCATCGTACACGCCGAGCTCGACGGGAATCTGCGTATGGTTCTCGACGAGTAGCGGCGAACGGAAGGTGACGTACTTCACATTGTCCGTGCCGCCGAGCTTGATTTCCACCAGGATGCGATGAACGGTGCTCTTGCCTTGCACGCGCAGACCGTATAGGAACTCTCCCTCCCTGTTTAGACGAATGCTTTTGACGGGATCGAAACCGCTTCCTTCGAGCCTTAATTCCACCGTGTTTGACGCGCTATCGACCGTAAGCGTCTCACGCATCTTCTCCCAAGGTTCGAAGCTCCACGGGACTTCTTGCCCATCCGTCAGATGGGCGCTTAACTGATCTTCGTCGGCCCTCTTTGGTACCTCTACAGTCACGTCAAACCCAGTGTAGTTGCGGATTCGGTAGGCTGACTCTACACCCCTAGGTTTTCCAAGGACATCCTCGTCCTGGGAAAGGAAAGCCATCGATTTGGAGGCTAGGGCGATCGACGCCGTCGTAATGGTAAGGTCAAGCGCCTTGTTCGAGTTGACATCGATAGAGAGGCCCTGAGAAGGGCTGCGGGAAACCCCGAACCCGACATGCCAGGGCTCGATCAAAGGCTCCCATGCCGACTTGGAGAAATTGAACACATTCGCGTACAGATCAATGGCCGTCTCCGCCTTGAGATTCGATGACCAGTCGGCGCCAGTCGCCGAGAAGGCGTTGATGCCTACATCGAGGATTGGAAGTTCGTGTACTTCGCCAATGAGAATGACGCGAATGCCTTCCACCGTGGCAGTGAGATCTTCCCGTCGGACGGGTCGCTTCTCGGCTTCTCCTCTCCGGCCACCCTCGCTCGCTTGGCTTCTACGACTTACCGCCGTCGAGATTGTCTGCGCAGGCTTGCTAGCACCGGTGAGGGTCGACGAACCGAGCCCACCAGTAGACCTTCGTTTGATGCTGCTTTGCTTAAGCTGCTTGCTCTTGTCTTCTGAGGAGGACTCAGCCTTGCCATCCTTGTCCATTGAGTCAGACAACTCGGAGGCCTTCTGCAAGATTTGTAGCGCCATGAGGATGTCTCTTAGGGAGAGGCGCAGAACCAGCGGCTCGACATTGACGGAAAGGCTTGTGAGCATCGGGTTGGCAGTTTCCATCGATAGCTGGATGGAGAAGTCATCGATAATGCGGAGGCGGCTATCTTCGAAACGATCCATGCGGCAGAGGAACATGCCAGCTTCTGAAACTTGGAAGGTGAGCGCATGCTGCTGAGACAATAGGACTTGCTTTGTCCCCAACACGATCGCTTCGGAGCTTGTACTCAGAGGGTTGGCAATAAGGATGACTTGAGCATCGACGACATTAACGCGGAAGGACATGCCCATCCCCGTAGGCGAGGTTGGGCTGGCGGCTGGCGGCGTCCCAGCACGCGACGTCAGCTGTGAGGTTGAATTGGACAAAGTTGTGGGTGCGCGGCTAGAGACCGCCATGGACTCGGCATCCGACTCCTCTGGCATCTCAGACGCCTCGTCGTCAATCGCAATCGGCTCGTCATTTTTGAGCGCGATCATGGCAAAGTTTTGCAAGGCAAATAGGTAATCGAGCGCAAAGATGACGCGGGGACTATCGACCGTGACCATTGCAATCATGTGTCGGGAATTTCCTCCAGAGATTGTGACGCTGGCCATGAGCTGCTGCACATCTGGGTTCGAGGATGTCATAATGCGTCGATACTTGTTGTTGTCCCGGGGTCGGCTATCAAAGATTGTGAAGGAGCGCACCACAAGCTCCGACTCCAAAGACCCATCAGACAGCATGCGGAGTTTGACTTGGCTTTCATCGAGCGAGAACCTCGAAAGACTCGCTTCATCTTGATTCCCGACTGGCTGGTTTTCTTGAGCACTGATCAATTCGAGCCCTACGGATGGGATCGCGAAGCTCAGGTCGAGTTTGACCCAGGCTTCGTGGTGCAGGCTTAGCTCGGGGTTCTGGTCCACCACCAACTCCTTGCTGTCCGTAGAGGAGGGCGAAGCAATTCCTTTTGCCTTTTGCAACGTGCCGTCATCAACCTCAGCCTCCGCCTGGTCGGTCTGGTCTTCCTCGTCGCCGACAAAGGCGGCGGGCACGGACTGGAGATTTCCAAAAGCGCCTTCAGCTGGTACGGGGTGATGCGCAGTTTAATATCAGAGATATTACCCGAGACTTCGAGGTCTGGGCGCTGAACACCGGGCCGATGCTCGGCATACGTGATATCAAAGCCTAGGTCAACGTGGTCAATCATTTCGAGTTCCTCGGTCTCGCCATCCGAGTAATGGAAGTCGGAGGTGAGGCGAATATTGCGTATGCCGGCCGATATCTTCATGGCCATCTCGGCATCCTCGGAATCGTCGAGTGGCGCAAACTTGTTTTGGGCGTAAATCTCTCCGAGATAGGCCGTCACGAGGTCACGTTGAGTGCCCTCAAAGTCTGCATCAGCGTCTAGGGCGCGTGGGAACACGACGATGGGCGTCAGCACAACAACGTCGAACTTTATCCTCGAGTTGCTTTGCTGAAGCTGTGACGCCTGTTCCGCGGCGGCCTGCCTTGCGGCGTTGTATATCGCTTGCATCTTCCCAAACTTGACCAAGAAGTCCACAATCTTGCGGAAGGGCTCCTCGACGAAATTGAGCTTGATGGAGCCAGCGCGTAGGTAGATGGATGAGTCGTACCCGGGGTACGATTCTTCATTGTTCGAGTTGAAGGTTTCGTAGCGGAAATCGGCGAGCTCGTCGCCTTGAATCGTCATGAGTTGGCGCAGGCTTGAATCTTCCGATACCCCCACATCAACATCATCAACGAGTGTAAGATTCCCGAGCTTGGACGAGACCCTCATTGTCTGGCCAAGCAAGTGGATCCCAACATCTGCGTGGTTGAGTGAAAGGGTTGCGAGACGGATATTATCGTTATTTAGGATGAGGCGTATACTCTTGAGGTCAATCTTGACGCGTATCGGCCCATTTTCGGGTTGGGGCTCTTGGATCACGATGACGTCGGAATCATCGCTGTTTTGCGATGCCGGCAGTCGGTTTTGGTTCGCATCATTGTTGGTAAAGGTGACGAGGATAAAGTCGAGGAGAGTGAGGAGTGTTTTGCGCGTGACGACGAGATTAATTGTAGATATCGAGACGTCTACATTGGTCTCGATTCCTTCGTAAACAGACATGAATTCCGGTGACTGATTGTTCACCTTGACAAACTTGACATTTACCAGGCTCCTGTTTTGTTCTCGATCCTCGGAGTCTCCGGAAGACACAATGGATTTGAATTCCGCAGGCGGGTTCTCGACAAAGTCATCTACAGTCACGGAGCCAAGGGACACTTCGGCAACCATGTCATACTGGCGATTATAAAACTCGACACCAAAGGACTCAGCGACGAGCTCCACGAGAAGCTGATCGGGCTTCTTACGCTGAGGGTCGCTCCTATAGAGGGAACCCCGCAACGTGTCGACGGTAAACTTGAGCTGGAAAATGCGCTGCTTCATGTGCAGCTTTGTGCGGTCGGTGCCGGATTGAGCATCCTCGAATTTATCCTCGTCCTGGCTGATGTCATCATCCACGATGACGGCAGACTGCTGCATGGTGAAGGGGAAAACGGTGGATGGTCGGCGGCTCCCTCTCCTGCCCATTCTATAAGAGGACGAGGCGTTGCTCTTGAGTCGTGGTCTAGAGGTTTGCGAATCCAGAGAGGGCCGGTCTCGGTTTTCGTTACCAAATTTAGGAATAGCAACGTCGATGATTTTCATCAGGTTTTTATACTTGGCATCGGACACGGCGACCTCGAGCGCGGGCAAGTGCCCAGACACTTTCATCTTGGTGAGATTTGGCGCTTTGGGGAGGATGGAGACCTCGACGATAAAGCCGACGTTGATGCGATCCACCACGTGAAGCATCTTGGTATGATCAGTGCTTTCCAGCTGAGCTTTCGTTTCCTCAATCGAAGGCCCAATGAGAAGCTGCGTAGAGGTAAGTTGGACGTGGAACTTGTCGTACATGACGGATTCGAGTCGCTTGAAGTCTTCGTCGGTGTACGACTGCCGCTGCTTCTCTTGGATTTGCTTCATAGTCCTCTCGTCAACCAGCTCACTGGTGACACTGATATGACCGGCGTCCAAGATGAGGCAGGTGGAATCGTTTGACGTCACACTGACCGGCACGATGATGAGAGGAGCCTGAAGATCAAGCTGGGCGTTGACGGTCTTGTGCTCTTCGAGAGCGAATTCTAGCCCGACTCGGGTCTGTTCGCGGAGCCCCTCAACCGTAGCTCCGGCCGTCTCCATCAGTGCGACAATAGATTCCATATGGCGCTCTGGAGGGCGGAAGAAGTCAACGACGCCCACAACAACGTTGGGGTTCCATACAATCTCGAGGGGCTTGAGTTTGCCGACAAGCGCAATATCTCCCTCGCGTTCAATCGGGTTCTGCTCAACCTCGAGGTAAAGAAAGGCTCCTCCTCAGTCTCTTCGAGTTCCACGAGCGAAAGGCGCTTCTGCCGCTTCCTTGAAGGTGCATCCTTGACTCGGACAATCTCGGGGAACTTGGTATTGGGCGTGGTACCATCGTTGACACGCAGCCCGCCGAGGCTTATGTCCGCCAGGAACGAATCTGGGCGCTGTGTAACCTTTGACTTGAGAACATCAAAGTGGAGACTAACAAGATCGGTAGCTTTGCTACGAGAGCCCTTCTTCAAAGTGAAGCTGCCAGTGCTCAGCGAAGTCTCGAGCTGGAGTTTTATTGAATCCCGAGGCACGTCGACGTCGGCAGCGAGAGCCGTCTTCTCATCCCAGTCAATAACCTCGTAGAGCTCCTTCCGCTGCTCTTCCGTCATTGTGGTATTTTCCGTCTCGTCCACCTGCTCTGCTGTAGGCTTGGAACCCCAGACCCACGAAAGCCAACCTTGCTGTTGTTGCTGCTGAGCGTGACTGAGGGGCGCTCTAAGCGCGGCGGCATTTTCTTTCGCGAGCTGATTCCTGGCGAGGGATCTCCAGAAACGAAGATCCTCATACCCGAGTTTCCATTCCAGCTGATTGAAGTCGTCCAATTCAGTTGGCGATAGCTGCTGGTTCTGCTTCTTCTTCTTGAAAAGTTCGATATAGCGAAGGCGGTTATCGCGGCGTTCGCGGAAATAATCCCACGTCCACCGCCTATTTCGTTCCTTGATTTTGCCCAGAATAGCATTTCCTGCGAAGAGGAACCAAGCTCGAGGGTCTTCCTTGGGCGTGACTCCCTTGGGTTGGTACTTTTGTATTCCTGATGCCTGATGAAGTAATGGAAGAGGTCAATCATCATCAAGCTGTCGCGGTATTGATCGTCATCTAAAACAAGACCAATCTCTTCAAAGAGGAGGTTAGCCTTGTGCTTTGGAACGTGAAGATCTCCGCTCTTGTCAAGTTCAATCTTGGCTTGTCCGTTGACGGGGCGCAAGATGTATTGATGATTCGCCGCGGAGTCCGTGCTACTCGTGCTGCTAACGTCGTCGTAGTCACCATCGTCCTCCTCCCGAGCGGGTTGTATCATGGCTTTAAGCTTCGCGACGATTTCGTCGTGCGGGCGTTCCTCTCCAGGTGATATAGCTTCTCGACCGGAACCTAGAAGCTCGGCGTCCGTGTCCCAGTAAACCGCGAGCCCGTCAAGCCTGGCAAGTTTATGGGTAGTATTGTCCTGACCGTGGAGGAAGGCAGCCTTCCACTTTCCGTCGGTACTGACGGCGCTGAACTCGCCAAGGGTTACACCGAGAGCAAAGGGGTGGCCTGGCGCGGAGATGGAATCCTCGTAGCGAACGTGGATGTTTTTTACGGTGACCTGCACGTTGTCGACAATCTTTGTCACCAAGCTTTGCGTGAAGCTCTGGTTCTTCTTCTCCTCCTCGGCGCTGAGACCTTCCCGGGACCGCTCTTTGAGGAGTTCGGCCGACTCCAACTTCTCCATTTTGATGCGTTGCCTCCGGCGCTCCTCCTCTTCCTCGTCGTATTCGGCCTCCTCCTTGGGGGACGCTAGGAGGAAAACATCTTCGACAAAGACTTTGACAGGCGCACCACGCAGGTTTGACCAAGGTATTACGAGTGTGAGCTCGCCCAGGTGGCCCTCGACGACATTGACGGGAAGGCGGAGCTGATCAAGAGCCTCCTTGCGGAGCTCAAGATTCCGCAATTTGACGTCTCCAGACCATATCCCAACCTTGAGCTGTGTGGGGTCGAAGTTTTTACGTAGAGGCCCAGGAAGCGGTTGAGCAGGCCAGCAACGAGGCCCTCCAACATGGTGTAGTGTTGGTCGCCGTGACCCAGGCGAAGGGTAGCGGTTCTATGCTAGGTTCCCTAGTCCGTGCAGGACGCGGCTACGAAGTCGAAATAATTTCTAGCCGTCGAGTTTGTTGAGAGAGTCCTCGAGGGGAAACGGAAAACAATTGGCAACCTGGTCTGGAAGCTCGGATGTTTCGAGGATCGCGGGGTGTTCAATGTCGGAGGCGGCGTGACGGCATGGACAAGTGCGGGGCGCTCGGCTTCGGGTGCAAGAGGGCGTCGAGAAGAGAACAATGCTCGGCCGAATAAATAGAGAGAGTATAATCTATCGGGTATCAAGATCGAAAGGGGGACACGTGTGGGAAGAACTCAATGGCCTTGTCTTGGGCCAAAAAAGGTTGAGAGGAGGGGGAGAGAAAAAAACGGACTCGGGGACCTGTGTCTCAAGCACCAAACATCATTAGCACCTGAGGTGAGAGAGCTTGGCCAAAATTCTAGGAAGCTGCGGCGTGGAAAGAGGGGGAATGGCAACCCTGCAAAATAACGTTGGGCAATCCGGCAGACGTACACGAAGAGGAAGAGGAAGGGGAAAGAAAGAAAGACAGGAATCCAATTATCGTTGGGTATCGTATCCCATTCATTCACGAATAAAGAAAGGAGGTAGAGATTGTGCGACGTAGAAAAAAAGGCGCCGACAGAAGCTCGAGTTGGGCATCTGGGAAATCAGGTTCGCCAGAGGGCCGTTAATAGTGCTGCCTGTGTCGTCAGTCGCTCCTGCCCACCACCTCCATCGAATCCTAGACCACACACACGTCAGAAAATCTTCAGCAGAGGAGCGTCCGGAGGCTCCTTCCCTCCTACACGCAGCTGTCAGCCAGCTGTTATTCAATGTTGGCAGGTAGCTCAAGTGGGGTCTGTCTGGGGAAATATGGGTCCTCTCAGCATGCCACACCAATCAGCAAGCGCCTTCGACAAAGGGGCATCCCTTCATGACGCGTGGCTGCAAATCAATTGAGGCGAAGCCTGGAATTCATCGTGCATCCCTCGCATTACGTCACGGGCTCCAACCGCTGCCCTCCAATTCTTCCGACGGCGGGCAAACCACCCCCAAGCTCCATTGATATTGATACCATTGGATCGGAGTGGGTGAAGATCATCGGAACTCAAATGGAATATGCCAGGCACACAACTGAATGCTGAGAATGTTCCAACATTCCACTGCCTCATCGTGGACAGGGAAAAGATATCCCCCGCACGAGCTCCTCTCCTCAAGGATGGATGAATCTCCCTTTCCCAGTAAACTGTTAGGCAATAATTGATCGATCCCGTTCGCTGTGCGTGACGCACTAGCAAGCTTTTGCTGAATAGTGCACCATTGTATCACGCTGACGTGCATCCGCTATTCAGCCCGCAGCCTTAGCCGGCTCGGTAGCGGAGACGCGAGGGCCAGCTAGCCCGTGGCCGTGGGCCGCTGAGGTGAGATGTGCCGGGACACGAGCCCTCGTTTTACAAGAATATTCAACGAGATGCCAGCGAAAATCTACATAATACTACAAGGTTGTAGATACCATGTCACAGCTCAAAGTCGCGCAGGTAATCAAGAAGAAGAAAGGGTGAACAAGAGAGAGGAGAGGATATGAGGATAAAAAGAGCAAAAAGTCTATCCGCCGCCGAATACTATTATGATTACGCAAAAAGCCCCGTGTACGCAAGACTGCCCTGATGCCTAACCGAAAAAGAAATACCAGAGGGGAAAGAAGAGCAGTCAATATGGAACGGCGCACTGGAGTGGGAGAGAAATGCAAAAACATGAAATGGCCCGTCAAAACCCCCTCTTCTCCTTCTTCTCGTAAAGCATCATGAAAAAGTGTATCGACATGTCTTCCCAAAACCATCAGACAATGCAAATGTTTTGTGTGCTGCGTGTAATTCGCACAACTCCCGTTCCCCTAACGTGCATATCAAAGCGAAGCAGGGTCGCTGGATATGGCCCCAGAATATGAGTGGAGAGAGAGAGAGAGAGCGCGAGGCGAAAACGGCACGAATATCCTCATAAACCTTCATCAACAGAACTCGAAACGGCAAGAAAGAAAAAAGAGCTCAAAGTGAGCAGCAGAAACAATTATACGTGAAGGGCAAAAAGAGAAAAGCGTGTGGTATAGAAAAATCATCCGTCCTGTGTTCATGGCCTCATAAAAGCTTGCTTTGCCTAGATACGCAGATACGTTAGTCATGGGAAATGATATGAGATGGCCGGAGCATGGCGGGTTGTCGGGACTACATACCTTCATCTGCTCGATTCTCGCCTTCAGCTGACTCGTCACCTCCGCCGCCCTCTTCCAGCTCTCCACACCTTCCCCACGATCGTGCGGCGTTGTGCTCTGTGGTCGGGAAATGTGGCTCGCCTCTGCTCCGGTAGCGGCGGTCCTGTAACCGCGGGCGGGGCTCCCCGTCCAGAAGTGCCGCCGTATCGCAAGTCACCAAGATTCGACTTGGCCGAGGGGTAGGGGTGGTCGCCATTCTCCTTCTCTTCCGACATGGTACTGTTGAAGCTCATGCGCTTGTTTCGAGTGCCGCCGCCGTAACCGCCATCGCGATAGATGCCCGCCTCATCATGCGTGGGGAGGAGACCCCGGGGCTGGCGAGGCCGGCACCATGACCTTCGGCGCGGTCTAACGCTCGCTTAAGGCGCTCCAGTTCCCGTCGTAGCCTTTCGTTCGTTTGTTCCGTCGCCTCGGCATCGCTCCGAGCTCGCACCAACTGCGTCTCCTTGGCCTTGATACTGAGTACGTCCCGCGTGTGGTCCTCGATGAGGCTGGCGTTCTGGTTCTTGAGCTCTTGAACCTCGGACATGAGCTTGCTCCGCTCGTGCCTGAGCTCTTCAGAAAGCCGCGTTAACCTCTCATTGGCAGCTCGGAGCTCTTCCAGTTCAGCACGTTCCAAAGCGCTAAGTCCTGTGGACTGAACAGGAGATGGCGGGGCCACGGGTGCGGCAGAAGGAGCGGCCGGCTTTGCGAGCGAGCGAGCAGCAAGACCACCACGAGGTCCACCGAGTTTAGGCTGGGGAGGCGGCGGGGCCAGTTCTTCTTCGACTGGCGGCGGTGCCGCTACTCTCCTAGGCGAGGCCAAGCCCCCGGGGCCGCCAATTCTCTTTTGAGGGGCTTTGAGACCTGCTAGGCCAGAGGGCTTCGGCATCCCCAGCTTACTTTGAGGTCGCGCGGCAGGCTGGGGCGTTGGAGGCTCGCTCTCCAAAACAGGAGCAGCCGCAGGAGCAGCCTTTCTCAAGCCCGCCGGGCCCTTTTTAAGCCCGGGCCCTCCACCTCCCATGAGTTTCTTCGGTCCTCCCGGTGCAGCGCGGGCCGCAGCGGGGGCGGCAGGCTTAGGCTTAGGCTTCTCCTTGGCCTTGACCTCGGCAGTCTCGAAGAACTCCTTGATCTTGGTCTTCCTGATATCGTCCAAACCCTCCAAGTGAGGGTTCATCGCACGCTCGCCAATGATCTTCATAATGGTACCGAGGACCTCGCAACCTCCGGAACGGAGACCCTCGCTTGACTCGGAAAGTAACTTCTTGGCCGAGTCGACAATAGTTTGTATCTCTGACTTACTGGGCACGTCGCGCGTGGTCCGCAAGCACCTTATGAGGAATTTCATTGTGCCCTCCTTCACTTGGGGGTTCTTGTGAACTAAACACGCGACAATATCTTCGAGGCAGTCAGTGAGGTTCGTCGATTGGAACACCGCGTCTAGCGCGGCACCAAGAGCGTCCGAAACCGCTTGCTTCTTCTCCTTTAGCCTCTCCATGATAGGGCCCATGACGGTGGCGCGATACTTGGAGTAACCACGTCGCAAGCCCTTGGCTAGTGCCTCGATGCATTGTGCTGCCTGGGCGACGACAATGACGTTGGCATCCTTCATACACTTGGCGAGACCCCGGTTTAACTCGTGGAAGTCCGAGTCCTTGATACGGGGAATGTTGATGAGAGCGTAGAGTCCTTCCAGCGCCTCCTTTCGGTCTTTCCACTTTGAGGAGCCGAGAGCGTCGTAGAAATCCGGCGCTATCTTGCTCTGGACTTCTTGCGGCTCTGCCAAATCAAAAGCATCAATCTCGGCAGGTTCTTCGTCGCCAGCGTCACCGTCGTCCCCGCCTCCCCAGGGCCCCCAGCATCTATCGCTCCTTGTTGAGAACGGAGCAGACGCTCTTGCTTGGGCATCGGCTCCGCCTTGATCTTTTCGAATTGGGCCTCGAGATCGGTTTGCTGCGTAGGCTTAAGGTCTCCCAAAACATGGGCTTCATGGCCTCCCTCAGCCAACGGTAGAACTCGACGGCGAGGTTGGTCGCCTCCGCTCGCACATTCTTGTCGGCGTGACCGAACACCTTTGGTAAGAGCTTGAGCACGGGCTTGGGGTCGACGACTTTGCAGCCGTAGTTGTGGAATATGGCGGTGAGCGCGGCGAGTGTCGCGGCAATAGTCTTGGGAACCTTGTGGGACAGGCCAGGAAGCAGGTCTTCGACGATGGGCGTCGGACTATCGAGTTCTATATACAGTAATAGAGCTTCTACTGCAGATGTCTTGATGGCGGCTCGGGTCGACGCTAGGGCTTTCTCGAAGATCGGCGTTACCGTCTGACCTCGGGACCGTACGGCGGCATCGGTGCCAGCGAATTTGAGGAACGCGCAAAGGGCCGCGATACCCTCTTGTTGCGCGGCGACGTTGGAATCTGCTACGGCGCCTTTCCATAGACTCGCGTCTAGTAGGAACGGCCTAAAGAGGGGATCGCTTTCGCTGCCCGTGGTCGCAAACTGTTTGGCGCCATCTTCGTAGGCTGCCTTCCTAACCTTCCAGATCTGAGAAGGCAAAACCGCGCAATAGTTAGTCGCATAACTCAGAAACCCCTGCGCCTCCAGGCAAAGTGCCTACCTTGTGTGTCCAACGGTCGGTGAGTGGTAGGGAGCTGTAATCCTCCTCCTGTTCCGCCATATTGATCGAGGAAGAATAGGGGTTCAAACAAGCGGTGTCGGCTGGGAGAGGGGCTGCCAGCAATGGCAAAAAAGAGGTTTGGAGGGTGAGAATCTAGAACAAAGTCGCAAGTCAGAAGGCCCCTTGGCTTTTGCCTAGGATATGTCTGAATGGTGGGGGAGGCCAGAATGTTGTTGTGGTGTTGACAATGACGATGCCACAAAAAAGGCGGGGATCCAATTTCGGAAAGTGCAGGCTAAGAATATCATTGACAAGAAGGAAAGAAAGACCTACTAGTCTGTTTTTGGAATAAGAAGAAGAGAGAGAGTCTAGCTAGATTATAGTGGAACTTGAGATCAAAGATACGAGTTCACAAGAGTAGAAAAAGAAAGGTGCAGTTTCCTAAATAGCTTCAAAAGGCATGAATGGGGGTATATCGCGGGTTTGTCAAAGAAAAAAATCTTGGTGAGAAGCGCAAGGTTTTGGTTAGGCTTTTGGGTGTCGTTGCCAGACATAACACAACCCCAGGACTGTGGTGTGTGTATTCCTGCTCCACTGTGGTCTGGTGTGGCCTTGTTTGTGGTCTGCTTGTTGGTGTGTTGACTCGGGCTGTTCTCGGCTAACATTTTTGGTTGCCAGGGACTTGAGGTGGCAACCAACTTGTCGCGTGGGTCGCGCGTGTCTGTCAGCTGGCGGGCTTCTTGGCACGCGCGTGACGACCCCTTGCCCCTCGCGGCCGCCTCCTATTCCATTTCCTTAGCATGACACTTATAATCATCGAGCAGCACGAGAAGAAAGGCTGCTTTTTTTGGTTGTCTTCATTTATGATTTTGATTCACATTATGCCATGGGCGACGAGATGATTTTATCTTTGCTAGGCGAGATGGCAATAGCCCCAGGGGTTTGCATTCTAATATTGCTGTTAACTTTCCCCTGTAACTCAACCGAGATACAATTGATAGTCTACTCTTTTCGGATTCATTCGTTTCTCCAATTATCAACAAATCAACAATGACCTAAAATCAAGGTGCTACAATGTGCCATATGGCCGGAACGATAAACGATACAAAAGAAACTTGATCGCGATTAAGTATGGATTCGTTTCCTTCTGCAAGAGCGAGGGGTATGTAGAAATACGAACGCCAAACTCCTAAATTCAACCAGCGTACCCAAGCATTCAAGAAAACCACTGCGAATCAAAGGATCGGAAGGAGGGAAACCCATTAGTCTGGTTTGTTCTCCGTTCGCCAAGCGCTAACATGGCGTGGCCCCGCGGTGGCGAGGTTCCCCTTTACTGGGTGGGAGGGTGCTGAGGATGCTGAGCGTGCTGGGGGTGCATCTGGGCCTGTTGGGGATACGCCTGCTGCTGAGCGGAGGGCTGGGCGGCGGCCTGCTGAGCCTGGGCGGCGGTCTGGGCATGGTGCTGGGCCTGGGCGGCCTGGAAGTGGACCTCGGTGCGACCGCTACGATGGTACGTCGCAAGAGGGGTTTGGCACTATAGCGCAACCAGAGTCGTTAGCACACATCTATGGAAACAGACCAGACCCAACGGCGGTGGGACGAGCATCTTCTCCCAAAGTATCAAGGGGCTACTTACGCTAGGGCACTTGTGGTGCACATCCTTGAGGGAGGCAATCATGTAAGGGATACATCCAAGGCAGACAACACAGCAAGCAAGCAGAGCCATCATACTAAAACAATCGTTAGCTCATCGCATCAACGCGTTGGAGAGCAAGGCAACAAGTGCCCTTCTGCGCGGGGTTCTAGAATGCAACTTACTGGGTGAAACCACCGGCCTCATAGCCGACGGCGGTCATGACACGCTGGTGGCAGTTGGGGCACTGAACGGGGCGGGCTGGGCAGCAAGGCTGACGAGGGGCACGCCATAGGCATCGGGGGCGATGCCATACTGAGCGCCGAAGCCAGTGGCCTGGGTCTGGGGAGGGCCGTATGAAGGCTGAGGTTGGGGCGAGCCAGCGGGATGGGGCTGCTGCTGGTAGACAGGAGGGGCACCAGCCTGCTGATACTGGATCGGCTGTCCGGGGACCTGTCCGGTGGTCTGAGGGCTCACATAGCCCATCTGGTAGTCGGCGCCGGGGGTTTGAGCTATGGGAGAGGTTGAATACGTTAGATGTGGTCAACGACACCGGCTGCGACAAAGCAGCAGCCAAGGACTCGCAGTCGGGAAGAGGGAGGGTCAAAGGAGTGAAGTGGGACAGGTTTAGGCGTCAAGGCAACTTACTCTTGTGCTCCATTATGAAAAGGTGGGAATAATGTTTTATGCGGTGACGCGGTCGGTGAAGGAAAGAAAGAAGAAAAATAAAATCGGACTATGAAACTATTTCTCGAGGAGAAGTTGATTCAAGGAAGAAAAGAGAGTGATGAAGGAATGGAATTCAGAGAGGAGGAGAAGGTAAGAAAAAGAAAAAAGCAGACGAAGAGACAACCAGACTGCTTTTGCGGCAGGATGGAAAAAAGGAGCAAGGGGAGGATACCTTAGTACATGGTGTCTGCTAGCTTTCCGGCTCGTTCAGTCACCAAGGCGCAGCTAATCAAAGTCGGAAGGGGACGGACATCCATTATTTCCTTGGAAGGATCGGCCAGCTGCCTAATGGTCTCGTTGGTGCATGGAACATGTCCTCCAAAGTACGAAGTAATGTTATTATTATCAATTCCTCCAGTTCTCTTCAAATTTTCTCCACCCCATGGAAATAGCACATGGTAAGACGCGCATCTGTTCCGCGTGCGCGGTAACGCCCATGTACGGACGACCTGTGCTTATCTTTTCTCATATCAGTCACCGCCCATCATCATCAATGTTCTCGCCACCAAACCTCGAAGGAATCAAGACGAAGAAGGAAATATTAGAAAGAAAAGAAACCGTGACTGCAACAAGCCAAGGGATCAGGACAGGGCTTCCCGTGCCTATTTGAGCCCGAAGCGAGAGTGGCGGCCGCAGCTGAAATAGCACAAAGGATAGACTCTCGGTTCTTCGCCCGCCTCGATGGGACCACGTTTGGCAGGGCTTGCTAAACCCCGAAGGTACATTGCCTCGGGATGAACCAATTTTATCTGTGTTACATTCACGTCCTCAAAAGCGCAGCTGCGGTGCCGAGAGACTGTCGGGCGGTTCCCGCAGCCAACACGTTATTAATTGATTTGAACATAATACTGATCAGAGCTATTACTGTGAATTGAGGCCCCCTCCCCGGCGGAAGGGTGCAGGAGGGTTGCAGGCAGTGATGGCTGTGCCACCCGCTCAATCAGCCAAGTGAGCCCAGTGGCGGGTAACAGGTCCAGAACAGACGTGATTTGCTGATCGACTGTGCCTCACAGCCCAAGACAGCAAACCAAACAGCCCTGCCGCCGGGATCAGGATGGAGCACAGCACCGAGTATCTTCATGGGCTGGCCACCAGCAGAGTGCACTGCCACCAAACTACCGTGAGACCTGCCTTCTCATCGTCACAATTGTTTCCCGAGTTGGCTGTGGCGACAAAGGCTCCGCGCGAGGGAGAGAATCGAGTCTGGTATTCGTCCCAAAGATTACAAGTAGCCGATGTCCCGCATTCTCGAGAATCAAAGTGGAGAATTCTTCTCTCCCTGGGAGCCCGGTGACCTTTGAAAGATAACCAAGCCTCGTAGTGGAGCCCTCGCCTCCCTGTGGGGAAGCCGAAAAAGAAGCATGAAAAGCGCGAAGGATTGCAACACGGGGAAAGGTTGGACACACTATAATCCCCTCCCCTTTCCTTCGGCAATATTTCAGGTCCCTTCCCTTCCTATCTCCTCTACACTGACTGCTCTCATCTCAATACCTCTAGCATAACCCTCTCCTGGCCCCTTTCGAGGAGATACCGGCCGAACCTGGGTTCGCGATGTAATATTCATGTCCTTGCTGCTGCAGAGGTCAAGTCACCAGACAGGCGCGATTGGATGTCGACCCAACATTGATTTGGGGGCCAAGGCATGACAGACGGCGCAGACAATTGGGTCCACATCAATCAGAGTCAAATTCACAACCCTGCGATGTCGCAGTTCAGGAATTGTTGACTGGGCTGTCTGAGATGAGTTGGCACAGCCCCAGTGCGTCAAAGAGTCGCTTCCATTGGTTCCCGGGCAGTGGGGAAACGAGCGAAAAGCCCTGTCTCGAGGGAAATCGGTGTGCTTCATTGAAGTTCAAGGCGGAAAATAAGACAAGCTATGTCCAATTTTAGCGCATTTGGCAAGTCGGCAAAGTGGCAAGATCGTCCATGGACCACCATCCACATTTCCCCCGGGCTATCTCTAATGTTGGCCCGCATCAATATTAACGTCCGTCCCTGCGTGCCGAAAATCCCTGCGTGCCGAAAAATATAGCATGTACTCTGACTTCGAACACGCCAAAAATTCCACATACCATGATATCTTTCAAAATTTAATGTCAACTGTATTTTCAAGCCATTTTTAAGTATCCTAGAGCTCTCTAAATTAAAAATTACTCTATAGTTGTTGTCCTCGCGCCTGATCTGTTAAACGTCTCGATTCAAAGCAAAAGTGAGTTCCGTCAACATACTTCCACCATCAAGCTCTTATTGCCTGCAAAACGCGTTAAGAGACACTATCGAAGCTTTAGAGCGTTGGACCGACACTATTAATCGTCTCGAGCCTTGCGGCTGTTGTGGTGTCCGGATCTTTATAAAATCGAGCTCTGATCTGTACTTCGGATCAAAGCCTGTGACAATTTTGGTGAGTGCCAAACAACTCTAGCACAGGGTACTTGTGTCGGATTCCGAAAGTCACATGATTTCGGTGCTTGCTGACGTGATACATCTGTCTTTGCATTTTGATTGGACCCGTGGTTTAGCCGAATTGGCCCGCAGCCTGCCGTTCGCCCAGATCCAGGAAATCATCGGCTCTCGTCAGCCTAACCTCACTGGCCACGCCAATGGATTGGAGATCCGAGAACTAGAGTCGGTTTAGTTGAGGATCCATACTTTCAAGTTTCCGGAAATTTAATTTAGAACCCCCTTTTTCATCCTTTTCATCCTTTTCTTCTTTTTCTTCTTCATTTATTACTTGAGGTTCCTTAAAAGTGCTCGAGGCCCAGACGAGCCTTCTTCAAAAGGCCTACATAAATAATTATGGTTTTCAAAGGCTTTAATTCTATGGTTGTACATAGTGAAAGCCAATTAAATAGTCCCTGAATCTTATTCGAATCAACAAGCGCCCTTTTTGTAATACGGCTTATAAGGAACAACGATCAGGCTATGCGTGTTAGAAACGCTGACACTGACAGCTGTGTACAGCTGCTAACTAGCAGTCTCCTCATGAAGAGGGATGGCAGACACGACCATTTAAGGACCCAAGAAGGGACACAACGGACCTTCAAGGGGAACAGGCAGGACGACAAGAGACACGGAACCGACACTCAATTGAACCCCCAATTTTGCATGATATTTCTCATTTGCATACATTCGTACAGCTGCGACGTTGGCACTATTCTCTCCGTGTTTCTAACAATATGTTCATTCCGGCTTAGGCTCGCACAGACTTGGAATATGCTTTCAGTACTCTAAGAGACTCATGTCACTTGCTCGATTTTCGACGATTCAGGCATCGGTGGTATATCTATATATCCAATTCAGATGGCATGTCACGTGGCATGCTAGGGAAATAACTATGTACTCATTGGACTACGGCACCGGCGCTATATATTTACCTCGGCCTTGAACTGCTCCACGTAGAAGTACGCATCCGTACCCGTAAATGCCTCGGAACCGAATTGGTCAACTTTGAAGCATTAGCACTGACCCGTGATTTGCTAAGCGTGTTGCGCGGACTTACTAAGGAGATATTGGTTGTTGAACGGGTATTGGTACTTGGATTGCAGGTACTTAAAGAAGTCCATAATGTCTCCAGTGAACGAGTTAATAGGCCCCCGTTGGTCAAGAAGCTATAAACCTTCATCTGGCCATTGTAGCCAAAGTACAGGTTCCACGAGTGCCCGCCAATTGTGACGGTCTCAATAGGCGAGCCAGTGGAGCTCTCGGTGATGGGCCAAACGCCTCCATAAATGTTCAGCCTAGCAAAATAAATACAGCCAATCAGCGACAACAATCACCTATGCCGATTTCTGCTCGCGCAGTCCAGGGTGCTCGTATCTTGGGTAGAAAGAAAAACTCACCAGATCATCAGCTCGTACTCGCCGTTAGAGTTGACGTGGTTCTTATCTGGGTGGGTGAAGAGGTCATACGCGACGTTGGCGCGGATCTCATTGTTGCCCTTGTTATATGACCACTTTACCGTCGTCGGCAGCGACTTGATATTAGAGAGTAGCGGGCGGTCGTACTGGCGACCCGCATACACGTAGCTCTTGACATTGTTCTCAGCGCCGTTCCACGTCCACTGCGACCCCCACGAGATGCCCCCGAAGCTGGGCCGTAGTAGTAGGTGCACTGCGACCCGGACTGGGCCGCGTCCTTGCCCCATAGGTTGTTGAGCAGGTCGTAGCCGTTAACCGACGCGTACGCGTACTGCGTGCAGAGCGACTGCTGCGCCGTCGGGGTGCCGCGGGGAGGGGACTGTGCCACGGAGGCGGGCGTCGCGTCGCTGCGGAGAGCAAGTTCTGTTTTCAGGGGAACTTGTCAGCCATCATTATTGGTTCTTCATAATATCAATTGCAGGTCGGACGTGATAAATCAGTAAACATAGGGGATCATACCGGCAGCGCGGGGAGATGCAGCAACTGCCCCCTCCGTGTTAGCGAAAAACAAGGGCAGAAGCCCGAGAATAGCTATAAGTTTCATGTTGGCGTTGTTGACTGTCCTCGTTTCTAATGGGCGTTGCAGTTGTTCCGTGTCAGAAAACCAAAGAAGCACAGAAAAGAAATCCGACCATATCTCAGGGGCCTCGAGCAGTATAAAAATGTTTCTTGTTGACCTTAACGACTTAATCAGCTGCAGTGCTCAGTCCCACGGGGACGGATGCGAAATACAATGAGCCATACCTTATTTTTGCCTTGATCTTAGTGACCATTAATAAAATCTCCCTCAAGAGATCGTCTTCCCGATCCAAGGCTTCCTGTCCGCATCGAACCTCGGCGTGTCGGTCGCTCTTAATTGCATTATCCGGTAAATTGCCTTTGGTTGCGATTTGGTTTATTGGCGGTTTGGCGGCGGCATTGGCAGTACTCGATGCGCACGAATTAGAGTCGTTTCGGTTCTTAACCCCGCCTGTTGTTCCCTGGTTCAATTTATTAGAGCAAGCTTGGGAGCGGTGGAAATTCCTGCCCAACATCTGGGCGCTCGTGCAACTGCCGGACGAGATGGCGCTCGTTACGGAGGTCGAATTCAAAAGTTTTGCGGCCTGGTTAAATATATTTGCCTAAATACATAACCATATTCGGGAGGAGCATATTTTACTCTATCACCACCACTCAAAAATTACCAACTACCAACCTTCAAATCCCCTTACATCGTCCATACACACATGAACCCTATTGAGCCTGTCTGGGGCTCTATGAAGAACCATAGAGGGCATTATTACGTATAGACACAAGCGGAGGCTAGGGCGGCGTGGGTAAAGATGTGGGAGCACGATGTGTCGCAGAGTCAACTTCAGGATTTATGGAAGGGCTTCCGGGGCATATTGGTGAAATTATTCGGCTAAAGGGTGGTAATAAATATAGGGGCCGACCAAAGGCGGAAAAGGCGGCGTAATGTATTTATTTGGTGTATATATATACCAAAAACCCTTATTTACTAACCGAGGCAGCAAGACTTTTAAATTCGACCTAGGTAGACAAGCTTCTAACCGGGAGCATACCAGCCGTGTCTGCCAATCCTTTAGCTATGTCGTGCACAGCCAGATCAACGTTGAACGGTGTGTTTCTATCAGGCGAGGCTCTGTAATGTGGCTGGCGTGAGTCTCACGGCGTGGGAAGGCACTGAAAGCAGCTTAATTGGGTTGGCGGTTGGAACATGAAGACTATTACTCGAGACTGGACTTCAAGATCACCTCGAGTGGTAACTACCGACTTGCTTACCAATATTTATACTACCGGATACAACATTACCAGGAAGCGTCTCGATAGGATAGAATAGCGTCAAGAAGGGAAAAACACGGCCTCACTGGATAGAATTTGTATTCATTGAAACTATGTCTTTATATAAACGTTGCTTTCCCTACATTTCCTCCCATAATTCAAGACCATTGGCAAAAAGAATAACACAAAGATATCAAAAAACGTAGGAGTTGAAATATCAGGCCCTATTTGTACCCGGCTCGTAGGCCGCCTCGTAGTCATAAAGAGGAGCCGCCACATAAAAGGGATCGTACGTCATCAATGGAAAGCCCACGTCCGAAGGCGAAGGCGCAATGCCCGACGGCCAGCATAGATTGTTGTACATGCTCGTTTGGGAGCGGAACGTTGGTGCCCTTGCTGTGCTCCCACGCCGAGCAGAAATCGAGCAGCTTCGCGATACCTTGCAACTTTGCTTATAATGTTCAATAGAATGTTTCGTGAGCTTGGTACCATCTTCCTGTCTGGAATTGCATCGAGGATGCCTTCATCCCGTTTCAAGCCATGGATTCCTTCTAATAATTCTATTAGCCGAGGTAAAGTTTGATGACTCGACCAAGCATCAATGAGTTTCATCACCTCCCTAGCCTTTTCGATGAATAGCTTGGCTGGCTGAGGTGTATTTACAACGTTTCTGAGTGAAGTAATAGCCTCTGAAAGATTTATTTATTGCTCGAGGTTTTTGGACCCTTTCCGCTTAATGCGCACAAGTCGCAACCGCTTCAGGATCCGCTCTGAATATATTGATATAATCCTAAAGAATACGTTATTCTCTAAAGCAGGGTTGCCGTCTATAACTAATTAGCAAAGGCCTAAGGGAGCAAGAGAAACATAACGATAGCCAGGTCCTATTATTAGGTACCCTAGCAAGGGTTGAAAATATTGTCTTGAAATCTCTCTTTAGCTTAGTAAGAACTTGATTCTGATTCTATCTATTGTGGTCTTTTCGACGTCTACTTGAAAAGTTCTTGCCTATGGACACACTTCATATAAAGTCTTTGGGCTTCCTATTTTAGAATGGAGTCACTAGATAATAGTCTAATATGCTGGTAATCTTCGTAATATTCGTTATAGACCAGATTCCATCGACCCTACAAGCATACGAGCCAGCTAGATAGTACCCCATAGCGCCTATATCGCATCGAAATTTATTGCCGATGCATTGTAATACTCCAACAGGGCATATGCCAGCCGTTATCTTATAAGGAGGTGGCGCACAATCGTTTTGAGGGCAGTCGCTGGGACTAGAGCAATAGGACTCATTAACAAGAAAGCAATAGCCCTGAAAGCCATTACCATACTCTACAATACAGTTCTTATTTATAAATAGAATAGGAGCCTTCCGGTCGTCGTTTTCTTATATAATACACTATGCTTTAATAAGTTATGATGTTTTTTAGCTAGATGAAAATGCGCCTTACTATAGACAATAAATCGCATGTTCCTCCGGCCTGCGCACAGAGATAGGACGGAGAGTGGGTCTCTTTTGTGTCCAGGTTAGTACAGTTACACTTCCAGGTGAACCACCCCTACAAAATGGTTAGCATGCTTTTGCTTATTGAAAAGTAGTCCCGAGGCTTTTAGGGATACCTACCTATGCACACCACCCAATCCCGTTTGGGGCTCAGGTGCTGGAAGGCCGGCGACGAGTAACGTCAGCCTTGACAGGGTAACGAAGGATAGCAGATATCGAACCATTGTTATTTTAGGTGGCGTTCTAGCATTGCTTCTCATATCTAGTAAAGCGCCTGGCACAGTCTTAAATAATCCGAGGCAATGGGGTTGAACTTATCGCACACAATATAGTACTCTCCCTAAAAACACAATAACCTAATTAGATAACAGTTGCCGGAATCACTTTATATAGCCTAACAAATCAGATCTTCTAGATTTTGGTTACTAGCCTCAATCTCTCATTTATATTTAGGCTAATCTTACGTGTTTCGCGGCATCTGTTTATGGGATAAACTATCGGAGCAAGAAGAGCGGCAAAAGCGATCAATTTCTCTGAGGGAGGAGAAGAAGCTATCTGCAAGGCGTGGAGCGCGCCAGAATTGTTGCTGGCGACGAAGAACACGTGACCTCCGATCACGTGCACAGCATCGCGCACAGCCCTGCTGACACTGCCTCTTCGGCAGCGATTCTTCTAACTTAACTACAAAAATAGCGACACCCATTTCGCCTTTTACATAGTGTAGAGCAACGCGCAACTAAATAGTATTTTGTACTGCAATTCTAGATTGTTCGAGTGATTTCCATTCGACGCCTTCACAACTTGCTTCAAGTCTGCTGAATATCGGGTCCAGCTGAAGCCGAACTTGCTTGTCATGTAACTACGGATAAGCCACCAAAAGGATCACGTAATCGCAATCCTCGCACCAGCCACATGTCAATCGGCCGCTGCCCTATGTCAAAGTTGGGTCATTCGCGACCGAGGTACTGATCAGCGCATCGATTTTACAAAGATCTAGACACCACAACAGCCACAAGGCTCGAGATGATTAATGGTGTCGATCCAAGGCTCTGGAGCTTGGATAGTGTCTTTTAATGCATTTTGCAGGCAATAAGAGCTTGATGGTGGAAGTATGTGGACAGAACTCTCTTTACCGTCAAAGGAAGCGTTCAACAGATCAGGCTCGAGGACAACAACTATAAGATAATTTCCAATTAAAAGATCCTCAGAGTACTCAAAAATAGCTAGAAAATATTATTTATATCATATTTTAAGCGTCATCGCGATGTGTGGAAATTTTGGCGTGTTCGAAGTCAAAGTATATACTATATTTTTCGGCGCGTAGGGATTTTCGGCACGCAGGGACGGACGTTACTCTTGTAATCTTGCTGAATTGGATGCAGGAGCTGGCCCTACAGGTCACGTGCGATCACCCGAATTACAGGTTCGTTCCTGCCATGTCACGGATCGCCCACTTGCTTGGGCCCCTGAGTCGTGAGTGGCGGCCCCCAGTGGTAAGACGTGGCAATGTTAGGCCGAGTGTGTGGAATCGCGTGTGTTGAATCTCAAAGCTCGAATGGCACCCAAATATAGCGCTCCACGTGCTGATCGAGATCCAATGGATCAATTAATTGATGGAGTGTGTTCATCTTTCCCTGCACTGCCAAAGGAATTCCCGATTCATCTCTCGAGTTCACCTGGTTTTCTTTTCTGAACCTCGCAAACGCATGTCGTAATGCTTTGTAGTGTCCCTTGGTAGTCGCATTCCAACGATGACGATGCACACCAAGGGAGCTTACGTCGACGGTGTGATGGACACGCTTGTCTACCATGGAGCGTTGAATGAGACGCGCATTGAAGCTCGATGATGAATAACAACTTTGTAAAACGGTGCTGGCTTATAATTATATCCCATCCGCAACGGCTACTCGGTCTGAGTGCTCGCAGCATGCGATTCTATTAATATTTCAATCCAGCCGCATCCCAGAAATTCCGGAGCTTTTAGCACGGGGAGGGGCGGAAAGGGAAATTTCTTGCACTATTTGCCCACGCGCACACTAGCTGCGCAAAGAGCGTGCAATTTCAAGATTAGCCACTGCGTCGATATGTTTCCGGCACACCAACAGTCGCGGAGCATCTTCGAGAAGCACGTCAGGTTCTTCCATCTTCCCACGGCTACCGTATAATAGCTGGTCTCAGCAAGAAGCTGTGTCAGCCGTCCACCTTGCGTCATGGCGAAGGCGGGGCAGAGACAGAGGACATCAAGAGCTCAT